GAAGAAACCTATAGATAGTAGCCTGATAAAAATGTTAATATTAAAGAAAAACTTTAGATGGACTTAGAGGCTTTTGCCTCTGAAGTCTTCATATATATATACGTATATATACACACCTAGAAAGTTTTTTTTTTTTGTGTTTTTTAAATCTGCACCTGCTAAATGCAAACAGCTCATCTGCTAATTGCAGGAAATAAACAAATTAATTGGTCAAAAGATGTGGGAACCCTGTCCATTGGAAACACTCAATCAAACTTGACATCCGGTCTCGACTTTTATAGGCAAGGTAACAAACATTCCCTCAGGAATGGTGACGGATCAGTTTGGAATGATTGGACTCCTGACATTCATTCGGGCAGCTGAGACGGACCCTGGGATGGTTCACCTGGCTTTAGGAAGCGACCTAACAACGCTAGGACTCAACCTCAACTCTCCAGAGTACGATGCTTTAGTTATTTACGATGCTTAAGCCAAATATTGATTTCTTGTCAATGTTCTCTTTTCGTCCACGCATTCATTTCTTCATTTCTGTTTTAACTCCTTGTAGGAATCTGTATCCTAAGTTTGCATCTCCCTGGGCTTCAGCTCCATGTCGACCACAAGACATTGGTAAGAGTTAATTTGACCTAACTGGTAAAGATGACCTACTCAATTTGGCTCTTCAGTAATGAATGCAACTGTTTTTTTAGACTTCCATGTTCCTTCAGAGTACTTAACCAACATTCACATAAGGGACAAGGTGAGGTGATAAACACTTCAATAAAACAGCATTGAAAAATTGTAATGCGCACCCAGCTGACCTCATAATGTGCTCTACACAGCTGGCTGCAATAAAACTGGGGCGATATGGTGAAGACCTGCTGTTCTACCTCTACTACATGAACGGAGGAGACCTCTTACAACTCCTCGCTGCTGTCGAGCTGTACGTCCTGCTGATTAAGTCATTCTTTGCCCAAACTTTTTTTTTTGGTAGCCAACCACAGGTGGACGTCGAGAGGTTAAATGGAACGCTTTGTTGTATTGCAGTTTCAACCGGGACTGGCGGTACCATAAAGAGGAAAGGGTTTGGATTACAAGAGCACCTGGCATGGAGCCCACGCTAAAGACCAACACCTACGAGAGAGGAACATACTACTTCTTTGATTGTCATAACTGGAGGAAGGTCGCTAAGGTAAAGATACTAAAATCTGTGTCCTGAAATCTTTTTGTCTTCAGCTACAGAGAGTTGCTGATATTTCTGAAACCTAACATTGTATTTGTGCCATTCTAATGGCTCATGCCGATTTCTAAGAGAGCAGCAAGTTACTTGACTTGTGTGTGTGGATGACTGTTACAGTAATGGCATATAGTGTAAATAATAGTCGTGACCAATATAATTTTTTTTAATTATACAATATTAGATCACTCTGTATAAAATATACAGAAAGTGTAGATGATGATGAAAGTGTAGATGACTTTCTTTAATCTTCGGAACACAAATAAATATATTTTTGATGAAATATGAACTGAGTGGTTTAGTCCAAATTTTCTGAAGCGACTTGATCACTTTATATGATGAACAGATTTAATTGATCAGTGAAAATAAACAGCTTAACCGAACCTGCTTGAAACATTCTTAACACATGAGAATGAACCTCATTGGTTCTTGCTGAAGCTAAATATTGCTGCGTAACATGAGAATGAATCTCATTGGTTCTTGCGCGTGAGAATGAACCTCATTGGTTCTTGCTGAACCTCAAACGTGCTGCGTAACATGAGAATGAACCTCATTGGTTTTTGCTGAAGCTCAAACGTGTGCCGTAACCATAGACGGTAAAAGAAATGGACACAGCGACCCCGTTGATTTCAACGGCGAGAGTTGAAGCCCAACATGGGCACTCACTTCCTGATAGCCAAGCGTTCTGCGCAGGCTCAAACTGAGCTTGACGACGTAGTTGTCACGTGAGCAACCGTTCTGACCTTCTAGTAGCTGTGCCGGGACAAATCTGAATTGAAATCTGAAACAAATCTGTTGTTGAAATATTTTGTCCCGTTGCTTTTATGAACTCTCTATCTATGGGCTTCTCCCTTGACTTTATGCCTCTATGTCCACCCGATTGCCTCATAGACCGTAAACGATTGCCTACGAGCTTCTACTTCTGTCTATACGGTAATTTCTCTACTGTCTATACGGTAATTTCTCTACTGTGCGACAGAGCGTCCCGTGGTTATGACGCAATCGTTAGCCTATTTTTACAAGAATGGCTTCTACGGGGCCGTAACGTAAGATACAAAGTAATGGAGCCTTTTGGACAAATTGAGTCTTTGGACGCCTCAGATGTAAAGTTATTCGCTGTCAAAGTGACGCCAAAATGAATGGGAGTCAATGGGATGCTAACAGCAGGTGATAGCCAGCTACAATGGCAGCCCCCGGAGGCAGCTTTAACTTCCAGCTGATGGATTACCCCCCTGGCCGTAACACGAGAATGAACCTCATTGGTTCTCGCACATTAAGCGATCAAGCTCGAGCTTCCGTTTACCACAACTGATGTGTGAGTTGATGATTGTTTATATGTGAATAAAAATTCAATCTGTTCATCATATAAAGCGATCGTGTCTCTTCAAATTTGGATTTCATATGAATTAGTTTTACGATCTCTTTATGAACGTAAATGTCATATTTATATATATGTGGCTGGACGTCAGCTCTGTGCTTTCCTCTCGTCTCTCAGGAGTTTCACCTGGAATACGACAAGCTAGAGGAGCGGCCTCACGTGCCAACCACCTTCAATTACAATCCGGCCCAGCAGGCCTTCTGAAGCTGCGTCCATCAGCACCCGTGAGCTCTTGGAGCGATCGGCCAGAGACAGCCAGCCGACCTGCCCGACCACAAAAAACCTGGTTTTATTCCTCAACTGTCTGGACAAGAACTGCGGGAGGGGGAGGGGAGGGTGGCAGGGGTCTCCACCTTGAGAACTGGGGGGAGGGACCCTGCCTTACAAATTATGTGCTGCCCGAACACAAAAAAACACTTCTATATATTTTCATTCTGTTTTTAAATTCCCCCTCTTACGTTTTTTTTCTTCTTCTCCCTCCATTTCATTTCGAGCAGGGTCAATGTTTTGTTTACTCCTCTGATGGAAAGCCCCCTTTGGTGTTTGCCTGGAGTCTTTGAAGTTGCAGTACAGCACACAAACACATCCATTGGTATTAAAGAGAGAAAAAAATACGCAGTTCGCGCTTTGTTTTCCGAAGCGCGCTGCGCTAACAAACAGGACAGACACAAAGACAAATCCAATACATGTGAATACACAAGGGCAAAAGAAAATGCAATGTTCATTGTTGCACTATTTAGTAATAAAAGAACACAAAAATTGTTTTCTGCTTTTTTTTTTAATGTGGGAAAATCGCTCAGCTCACGTCGTTGTCTGGAAGGACGCGCGGCCCTGTCATTAACATCATGGAGGTGCTCCCCCCCCCCATTTTTCTTTCGTTTGTCATTCCTTTTTCTCCATCCACCTGCGTTCCTCATCCCGAGCTGTTTTCTGCTTAGTTTCAATAAAACCCAATCAGACTGTTTCAGTGACCGTTGCTGGGCACAAGCCGCGGACCAGGCGGTTGTGAGCTTATCGAGAAACATTGTTCCAGAATGAATACAAACCCTTTTCAGTCTTTGTTACGATTTTGTAATAAACGTGTACATTTTTTTAATTTTTTGACATCACATGAATAAAGATATGTATGTATGAATGTGTATATATATGATATATATAGATAGATGTATCTATATATATATATACATTACGTCTATTTTGGAAGAAGTAACTATGCTTGACCTCGTTTTTAGGAGGTAAACAGAAATGGCATTATGTGGTAGAAGCAAAAATGCAAAAGACAAAAAAAATTAGTGAACAGTATGTTGAGCTGCCAGACAGGGAATCACGTTTGTTACCCTGTGCACTTAAAGACCAATTCAACTAAACGAATAAAGGCGACACGGAGGGCCTACCGAGGACATCTGTATTGCGGGAAAAATCCACGGGGGTGGAGACATTTCAGCTGCAGCTATTTGAATAGAAGCATTTCGTAGGAAAGGGAAAACCGATAGTACGAAAAACAGACCAATCTTGTATTTTCTGACCACATTTAAGGCTCCCTTTCTTTGTAATAAAGCAGAACGGCTTTCCTGAACCAGTGTTTGGACTCTGTATGGGACGGGGTTGTGTGTGGGTGAGACCGCACTTACAGTACCAGCATGCTGTTTGTAATCTCTCTGTAATGCATGACTAAAACTAACATGCCTTTTCCTGTTTCACATGAGCAGACGGTTTGTTGTTTTTCCCCCCAAGTATTTTAATAAAGATGCCACGAGGTTAATGGTTAATGCACACAAACTACTTACAAACGGTCAAAATAGACAAGAAAGATCAGATGGAATGTCACTGATGTGAAGAAACTGCTGTGTAGTGTGCTTTTCGAGCACTATGAATACTGTAAGACAGCAGAAGCAGCTTTAAGGCAAGTGCAATTCAACTTCCTCCATCACAGTGCTCAAGGACGTATGTGTTTTTAACTGTCGGACACATTCAAGGCAGCACAAATAGATTAAACAGAAAATATTAGTGTGCTACATTTTAAATTATAAATGTCACATTTCAAAGATGGAGTTGAATAAGATTTGGGCATTATTTAAGCATTAGTAAAGTAAATTGGTAAAAAAAAGTTTCTAGTTTCCATAAATCAACATTGAAATGCCAAAAATAAAAGGTCTGTCATCATTTACTCACCCTCATGTTGTTCCAAACCTATATGAATTTCCTTTCTTTTGTGGAAGAACCTTTTTTGTCCATATAATGAAAGTAAATGGGGTCCAAAATAACCCTATTGGTCCCCATTGTCTTTCGCTGTATTGACCAAAAAAAAATTCCACAGAATAAAAGTTATACAGATTTTAATTTGACATGAGGGTGAATAATTTTCAGAAATGTCATTATTCATCTTTGAATTTTTTTTATATAAAAAAAAAAATTGTATGGTAAATGGTGGTTTTATCATCTTAAAATACTTGTGCCTAATATTCAAGAGGATGTTAAGATACATTCATCTACCAATCACATTTCTCAAATTGACATTATCGAAAACAATGCTTGCAAAACAGCGGTCGAAAGTCATTGTAGGTGCATAAAATAAATGTCTAGTTGGTCCAAATCCACAGTCAGTTCCAGTCTAATGAGTGCAGGTGGCGTAACGCCAAAATGAGTTTAAGACGCTGTACAGACTCCAACAGAAGTATAGTGGCTGGAGGATCAATGTTTATAACCTCCATGATTCATTTCATTCAAGCTGCTTCGTAGTTTCACTTGCCACTTGGTTCACCCTCAATCGGCGAGGAACCAGGACCCGTTTTGGAAACTTCCTCTGTAAAGAGAGAGCTTAAATAAGTGTCTGTGGTCCAAAAAGTCACTATAAGATGTTCTAGATATCATGGATCCATTAACCAACCTCTGTCCTTCTTCTCCTGGGTCTCCTCGGCAGCTGTTTTATCAGCCCTGAAGAAGATCCGAGCGCTGCTCAGAGAGAAATAAAGCAGCTCGAACTCCTACAAATGGAGAGAAGATGTGAATAAACAAAGCGATTGGCCATCATTGTTGAGGAGCATGAAGATGCGAGTCCCACACCTGCAGATACACGTCCAGTCTCTTCTGGGTCAGGTTCATGGTCTGCATGAGCTTCTCATCTTGGCTGGTGGACTGAACGTTCTGCTCCTTCACTACTGCGTTCATTTCCTTCACGTACTTTTCCCTCACAGCCTGGAACCAATGGAGGGAGTCAAACTCCTGATACTGGTCTAGAAGCTTCAGGATGTAGGCGACACCTGGAAAACACGGGAAAGGCCCTTGCATATACCGTTCATAGATAAAATACCATTGGCTTTCGTAAGCGTAATGGACACGTACCCATGGCGAAACCATCGTCTGTAAACGCAGCTCCCACTTTGTTCTTTTTGTTTAGTTTTTCTTTGCAGCCGATGGAGTGTTCCACAAAATTGACTGTCTGCGAGGGAGAAGAGAATTGAACGTCATGCACGTGATGCTGCAGTCAGCAAGAGATTGCCACATCACATTTTCACAGATCTGAAGACCCACCAGAGGAGGAACAATCATGTAGAAGTTCCTCAAGTGCATGTTCTTAACACTGCGAAACTCGGGTGCGAAAACCCCCACCAGCATCTTGAAGTACTCGGTTCCTTCAGCGGAGTTGCTAGTCAGGTCGCTAAGCACACAATCCAGTTGGCTGAAATAATAACAAAAAATATATATATACAGTATATATTATTATTGGTATGTTTTGACCATTATTATTTTAGAAATGAATAATTTACTAATTATTATTATGTGGCAGAGACGCTGATCGAGAGAGTTATGATGTACAGTACCTGGCGGCCTTCTGCGTCTCTTCAGAAAGACCTTCCTCTTTCACAAGCTCCTCAAAGTTCACAATGTCCTCTAGATCAGGAACAAACCTGGAAGACATCTCAGAGTGAATGCTAAATGAATATTGTATTATGTTCTCTGAGTTTCATGTGAGACGACTTTATCTAGTAATATTAATCAATTATTACTATGATCTGAATGTCTCAGTCAAATAACATTTGAGTGTAGTAGTCAAGTGTGCCACGCATATGTCCTGTAAAGTGAAGCCAACACATTTCGATCGCCCCCTGGTGGCTGGTTGCAGTATAGGTCATAAACCCCGCCCTCTATGTAATCGAAAGGGACACGGGCTAAGCGAAATTCAATTACACTTCAAATCATTTTTTCTGAAGATGGTTTTTCTGTCATAGTAGGTAGTTCTGATCACGCAGACGTAAGTTTAAGTGTTTGTTTTTCCAATAAGTTTGGTTTGGATGTGACGTCATGATTGACAGCTGTGCTTGCGAGTGAGTCTCGGGCTCCGAACGATGTAATCAGCAATGATCGTTTCTGGGATATTTGGGCTTCATTTTTCTACAGTGGAAGGAAGCGGAGATAGGCTGTCCATCTTTTTTTACAGTCTATAGTAGGAGTAGAAAGTGATGCTCTACCTAATAGCGCTACTGCAGCAGTGCAGCCCTCCTGACCGAATCATGCGCACATAGCCCATCGCATTGCCTGGAAGAAAGGGAAGAGAGGGAATGAATGAAACCTCATGGGATAGTTCACCCACATTTAGTTCTAGATGCGTTTGAACGCCTTTAGACAAAGTTTACCGATCTGACTGATGAGCTGTCTGTACTGGTCCAGGTAGCTCTGACCATCAGGAGTGAGACCCAACTTCCTGATGCCCCGGTTGAACTTCTCCGCTCGCTCAAAGGGGTACTTCGTTCAGCAGAAACCAACAGAAGAACACGTCTTCAAAAAAAATGTATAATGCTTCGCGAAACAACAGCATGTAAATTGAAACCAACATACTTTTTGGTCGGTCTGATCCTTGGTTTCCCTGAAGAAGCGGATGTCTTTGATGAGTCTGGATTTGATGTGTTCGTCATACATGAACTGACTGAAAATGTAGAACTTCTTGCGGAGGAACTGATACGTGAAGTTCACCTGCAGAGATATACTTCAGACCATCAATATTAGTGGTCGACCGATATATCAGCCGATATTTAGCATTCTTTTAAGGCCGATAAGTTTTTCTGTTTCTGACTTTTATTTTGACGGTATGCCGGACTTATATTTTGACAGCGCTGAGAACACCAGTGCCTGAGAGATGGAGCTTTCATTCTCTATCTTCATTAGTTTACCGTCTCTGTTAAATAAATTATTAGACAGAGCTGTAAAACAACTTAAGTGAAGTGTATATGAAAAAGTAGGAATGTGCCCGAAGTTGAATACCTTATTCGGAAAGACACGGAAAATTAACGCATTCTACGGAGCCCCCAAATGGACATTCGAAAAGTGAAAAGTGAGCTCACATTTGAAAGCGATTTCAAAACCCCGCATATTGATAGCGGCTTCCTGATGCCCGCAAATTACACAATATAATTACCCAATTATATAATTGCGAGAGAACGCAAAAGCATTGAAATGTTTTTTTTTCCTCCAAGCTCATATTTTTTCCATGAACATGTCCCATAGAATACGTAATTTCCTTTCCGAATTCAGTATTCAGCTTCGGGCACATCCCTATGAAAAAGTATTATAGCATTCGCTTTTCTATTATTAGTACTTATACTAGTATTACACTATATTAATACATAGTAATAGTAATACAGTAAAAAGCTACAACAGAATCAAGAAGTTGCCATATAAATTATAAAACATATATATATATATATATATATTTTACTTATTTTTTAACAAGTTCTAATTTTTTCATATTCATTTGCAAATTATTTATTTCTGAATTAGTAAATATTATGTCAAATAAATCGAAATTTAATTTCAGAAACTGTTATGCATGTGTTTTTACGATCTTTAAATTAAATAGTGTGAAATCATACATATCGGCTTTAAATCAGCCAGCTTCGGCATAAAAAAATATATAAGATATCGGCATAAAATTTTTTAATTTCGGTCGACCATTAATCAATATGATGAGATATTTCTGGTCACGTAATACAGACGGATCACTACATACCGTTGTGTTCATGATACCCGTTCCATGAGTGCGAATAGAGTTGGCAATGTGGCGGATGTTAATGGTATTTAAGTGCTTGTTGTTGCTGGTCCTCTCAATGAAGATCTACACACAATGTAGAACATGTTTTACACAAACACATCAACTGAAGTACATTTGTGGACCAATAACTTCAGAGGTAAAGTCTTGCCTGGTTGTTTAGGTTATAGAGGTAGCGGGAGACGAAGACGTGAATGTTCCTCATGATCTCAAGGACGTCCAGACCCTAGAAGACACCAAAAGTGAAGTTAGGCTGAATGCGACATGTCATTTTTGAGCTGATCCGCCGAGTGAGGTACACACCTGTTCTAGAGTTTGGCTGGGGAGATGGGCCTCAGTCATGACCAAACCATAGCGCTGTGTGGCGAGATTCCTCATCTCACTGTACGTGGCCCAGTCATGAAGAGCCACAGTCGTCAAGTTGTAAAACGTCTTGTCCAGATAGTGAGTCACATAGGCTGCAGGAAACAGAGGACTTGGTCTTAATATCTTACACATCTTGTTCAGAAGGCAGAGATAAAGCTCAAGATTATGACATTACAACCAAGGACCCCTTAATATGATGATCCCAAGAGAAAGACTCTTTTCCACTTTATTTTCATCTATAAAGGTATTGTTTTTATACACAAATGTGTAAATAATACACACATATACATAATACACAAATATTTAAATACATACATTACTAAAATAATAGTTAATGTATATATAAATATAAATAATATAAATATATATATATATACTATAATATATACAGTGTGAGTATGTATACACACTGTATATATTATAGTATTAATTTTAATATTATTAAAGTATAAATACTATAATGTAAACTACATGCATCACAAAAAAAAAATGAATAACATTGATATTTCCACTTTACTGAAGCTGTTTACTAACTTAACTAAATTCTATAAAATTATACAAAATTAAATATATAAAAAAATGAAACCCATGATTAAATGTTAGATAAATCTTTTTACTATAAATTATTGTAAAAATACATTTTGTTAAATACATTTTCTGTAAAAAATAAATAAATAAATAAGACAATTTAATAAGACAAGAAAAAAGAATAATTGGGATTAATCTCATTATTTTCGAAAAGACAGAATGAAACAATAATATCAGATTAAATAAATGTGTTAAAACATTGTTTAAAAAATATATATTAATATTTTAATAAGTTGACTTTGGCAGTGCTTAAAATAAATTTTTTATTTTTCCCCCCTCAAATTTTCCCTGAATTATAGTTATCAGTATTAAAGGTACAGTACTAAAAAAACACTTGTTTTTGATGTGAAAAACCTTGACTAGCATTATATAAGTACATTTCAGGGACAAAAGACAAACATGCAGGATATGTTCCCTTTAAAGAACTCATTATATAAAATACATTTAGTGTAACTCATGCATTCAGTCTTATATTCCCTACCTTTGATGTCGATGAAACGGTTGAAGAAGCGAATGGGCTTGAGAGAGAAAAAGTGTGCCAGATCCTTCATGCCCACTTTGAAAGGATTTCGGTCATCCAGTTTGAGGTGTGTGTGCACAGACAAGCGCAGGTCCTTCTCAATTTCCTTACACAGCTTGTCTAGCAGGTGCTAGAGATCAGAAAAAAATATGCAAAATTACAAGTGTAAGAAATTATAGTCTGCCTCAACCCAGATTCCACTCCATAATAGGTGGTTGATCATGCTCATTCCCCAAAATGGCTTAACTATCAGTGGATCACATCATGAGCAAATGGCCATCAATTGTAGATCTCAGACAATGGGGTGTCTCAACTTCATTAACACACAGACTGCTCAATTAACACACAGCTGTTACAATAGGAGCAACTTCATTTACCTTAGGGGTTGTAAACCGTCATGGGATAAAAGGTTTGAGAATTGGATGTTCTGGGTTCATTCCGACTCCATTGAACCCAAGGTGCTACTTGGGTTCACCTTCTTCATCAAGATCTTTAACGTCCTCCTCATCTTTTCTTACACTACAAAAAGTGCATCCAACACTTCTCTTACCTCATTGAAGATTTCCATGATCTCAGTGTCATAACACTCCAGTAGCTGATCACATGACTCCATGTGTTTGGCGTGCAACATGGTGGGCACACAGTCTCTGAGCGCACTAAACATGTACTAGAGAAAATATATACATATTTAAATGGCATGTAAAAAAAAAAAAAAAAAAAAAAAAAAAAAAAAGTGAACATTAAAGGGTAACTAAACACTGAAACAACTTTTTTTAGTGAATGATCTGTAAGAATGGAGCTTCATAAATGCTGTTCTTTGATTCGAGTACATTTTTTGACATTTGGGTATAAAGTGTTTTAATTTTCAAATATATGGTGTAAAAACGTATGAGTGCTGCCCTCTTCAGGTTAAACGGAAAGCTCCTGCAGTAGGGGTACTCTCTGACGTAGGGTACTCTCTGACGCTACTCTGTCACGCCCTTGGTGCGAGCTCACCACGCCCTTGGCAGCCCCTGGTATAAAAGCATCTGGTGGTTCCGTCAAAACTACTGTAGCAAGTCAGGAGTTGGAATTACGAGTATTGAAAACGATCAGGATAGTTTTATATTTGAAAATCAACAAACAACAAATAAAACAAGCAGCTCAATGCACTTTTTAAGACAAGATTCTATTCTGTGGCATTTCCTTCTGACCGTCGTCAATAGCAACGCATTATAAACACAGTGCAAATCCATGCATCACAACGGACGCGCTCTCTCGTTTCATTCAAATACAATTTGCCGTCTTGCGTCTCCGTTTTTGATTGTATTGAAAATAAAATCAGAGTTAATTTATTGTTTACAGAGTTTGATAATATTGTTGTGATCATCTTGTCTGGACGATTGTTTTGTACGCTGTACAAAATGGATTTATAAACAGGTAAGATTTAAAACATTAATGCGAACTTTTCTTCGTGGAAGCTTCACGTTTATTTCGAGTGAGATAAAATATTTCAACTCAAAACAACATTTTGAAGTGTATTGCAGCGACTTTTTTGTGCATGTTCTGCAGACAGGGTGACCATCATCGATTAAGTTTCCCTCAGGACTTTTGTAAAAGCCAAAATATGACCACACACCTCAGATTTGGCCCTCTTAAAAGGCAGAAAAATCAGATGAAGGTGGGGAAGAAAATACTTCAAATGACCGCTCTGTTGCAAAGCTACTTGCGTCACTCCAGTCGGTCTCCATTTTAGCGAGTTTGACAGCAGCTGTCAATCAATCCCTCACTGCGGTCTCAGTTCGTCCCCTCTATCTCCGCTGGGCTCTGCCCACTTTTCCAGCATTTTTCAAATATTGCCAGTGGGTGGAGTCAGGCTCTGACCAGGGGTTTAGTTACCCTTTAAGGATAGATCGTGCTTTTACATGAATTCTGGCCGCATCCACAGCGTTTTCATACACGTCATCCAGGTAGATGGGGAAGACAGTTCGATGCCAGTACAGAAAACTGCAGTCGCATTGCACTTTGACTCTGAGGAGAGAGGATATCCCATCATGCACTTTACAAGACAGTCACAGATGTCACAGACTCAAAATCGGCCACTGCTAATCATAACTAGTTGAACAAATGCAAGGCTCACCGCTCTCTTAGTTCACTGATTAAGTCCAGCTTTTTCAGCACAAGCTGTAAAGGCAGGAGCTCCTCATCCTTGAAGGTTTTCTGTGCAAAACAAAAAACAAAAATGCAATGAAAAAAAAAAAGAACATCAAACAAGCAAAATATAAAAACAAAACAAAAAACAACAAACAAAAAAAACCTAAAAAACAACGAACATCAAAAAACAAAAAACATCAAATAAAACAAAACAAAAAAAGAATAAAACAAAGCATAAAATAAAACAAAAAACAATAAACATTAAAAAAAAGATATTTAATAAACAAATAAGGAAAATATTTTTATTAATAAGAAAATAAACACCATGAGCATTAAAAAAAAAAAAAAAAAAGTAAAATAAACTGGAAGCAACTTTAAGGCATCAGAATGACATTTATTTTAATAGTTTATATTCAAATGTTACGAATTGGCCATTAATTTGATTCAAAAGCACTCAATGTATTTATACTCACCATCTGAGTGCCAACACTGAGAGCCAGAGACACTATCAGTCTCCTCTCTTTGGTGCTGGGCCCGTTCAGAGTGTTCTCAGCCAGAACCAGAGCCGACAGCACGTCCAGCCTCTGCTCACTGTACTTCTTATCAGAGATCACTCGTTTCTGAATGAGGACAACAACCAATCATGAGAATGTCTGGTCTATAGAGCTGGTGTAAGTGAAATGGTTGTGTTTGTACCTTAGCAGTAGAGATGGAGGCCAGAGCCTGAGACTGGAGCTGTTGCGTGATGTGAGACACAGAATCTGCTACAACCACTGAGCGCCGGTGGAATGTGTGCTCCACAGCCTGTGCTTGACAAACACTCACATAAACACTGTGCACTTCACACAACCTAGAAGAATACTGTTAGTGTAGCAGATCCGCAATGCACCCTACAACTACTGTAGATGGGGGACACTGCCTAGTGAACTAGAACTAGTGCACACAGCCTAAAGAACGCTTGAACAATAGAACACACTACCTATCACTGCACAGTGGAACTTGCATACTACCTAGTGTACACTTGGCACCTAGGACAGCCTGTACATTACAAATACAGCTTTTTAACTGATTAAAATGTACTAGATTTATAGTGCTATTAGTGTTTACGATTTTGTGCACACTACAACAATCATACTGGACATGTAGTGAACACCACTATTAATGTGTAAAATAACATTGTTCTAAATTTGTAGTGCATATCATTATTAGTTTCCAAATGATTGTGCACACTGCAATATACTAGATTTTTAGTGCACACTATTAGCGTTTAAACTGTGAGTACTACAACTAATGCACTAAATTTGTGCAGACTATTATTAGCGTCTAAATTATTGTGCACACTAAATTGTACTAGATTTATAATGCGCACTACTACGAATGTATCAACATTTTTATGTAGACTAAACCAAACATACTAATATGTAATATGTCAACACTACTATTCACTTCTAAAATTATATACTAGATTTTTAGTGCACATCATTAGTGTGCACTACAAGTAATGTACTACATTTGTAGTGCACACTATTATTGTCTACATTACTGACACTACAATGCACTAGATTTATAGTGCACACTACTATTGACATTTTTGTGAACACTACAACCATCGTACTAGATATGTAGTGAACACTAATATTAATGTATAAAATGATGTACTAAATTTGTAGTGGATATTGTTATTTGTTTCCAAATATTTGTGCACACTACAAGTAATGTACTACAGTTGTAGTACATATCAGTGTTTAAACTGAGCACTACAAATAATGCACTAAATTTGCAGTGCAGACTACTGTTATTGTACATACTAGAATATACTAGATTTATAGTGCACATTACTATTAATGTTGACATTTTTTCACACGTAGTAGTGAACACTACTACTGCAGATCAAATATTGTCCAAATTGTGTCCCTACCTTATGTTTTATGTCCAAAAACTACAACTAATGTACTACATTAGTAGTGCACAATATTAGTGTTTAAACAATATTAGTGTTAAAAAAAGTTACTTATTGTGCACACTACATTGAAAAACAGCCGGTATATAATAAACACTGCTCGCATTTGAAAATAAAACGTTCCTAAAAATATGTGAAATTATTTGCTGTTGAAAATATTGATGACTCATCAACCCACTTTTAACAACTCCACCAATCGGCACAGGGCCTTCACCGAGGTCTTGGTCATGGGCCGCTGCATGGACATGTACATATTCATAGTGGTCTTGATGATGGTGCTGATGCTGTAAGCGTACAGGATTCCCTGTTGAAACACAGACACATCTGGGTAACACTTTAGTTTAGGGTCCAATTCTCACTATTAACTAGTTGTTTATTAGCATGCATATTGCTAGGATATTGGCTGTTTATTAGTACTTATAAAGCATGTACCATATTCTACATCCCTTAATCCTACCCAATACCTTAACTTAACTACCTTACTAACTATTAATAAGCAGTAATTAGAAGTTTATTGAGGCAAAAGTCATAGTTAATAGTGAGAATTTTCCAACTCTTTTAACAACATTTTTAATCCCAAAAATAACAGAAAAGAAGAAACCGTCAATCTCTACCTGCACAAATGTATTACACCTGTTGCTCAAGTCCTCAGACAGTTTTTCTGGTTTCGGTTCTTTTGATAATATTGACTCCATCTTCATCATCCAGGAGGTCACAAATATGTAGTAGGACTGCATGTCCCTGCACACAGGAACATAATCAGTCAATAGGGGCTTTCGCACCGGGTAGTTATAGGAACTTAGTTAAAGGAACTAGACACCAGGGCAGTTCCAGAGAACTAAATGTTCCCCTAGGGCCATTTTCCTGGTTGCATTCGCACCGATAGTAGGTTGCGCTTGTTGTTGTGACTTATTTTGACGGCGCTGAGAACCCCAGAGCCTGAGCACGCAGCGCTCCCATTATCTGTCTTTAGTTTACTATCTATTTAACAGTCCTGTCTAATATGTTATGAGATAGAACTGTTATACAAAGAAAGTAAACAGTATATGAAAAAGTATTAGTGTTTGCCGTGTGGTTGTTAGACCCTGCTCTGCAGTAGAAGCTAATTTAGTTCCCTCAAAAAGGCGTTCCTAAAACTAAAATCATTCCCAGGTACTTCCACCATTAGTTCTAGGGACTCTGAAAAGGTTCCTCCCGTTCGAAAGCCCCTAATATAAGGAACCCTAAATCTTTATAATGGCATAAAATACACAGACCATGAATGAATTGTTGAGGCTAAATCATAATTCATTTAATAGTCTGTCTTACTTCATTAGTGTCTGTGCCTTTTGCTGCAGGAACGCATCTCTGCTGCTGCGGGTGCTCTGGACGCTCTTCTTGTCCAGTAGTTTAGCTGCCGCGGGGACTTTGTTTATCAGAAATGTGTCTGGAAACCAGATTATATTAGCTGCTAATGTCACTGCAGGGACCTGGAGGATTAGAGAAGGGAAAGAGTTTTGATAATGACTGAAAGAGCAGATCTTCACACGCATAAATCCCACTGGTTTAGTGTACTCACCTTTTTACACACATCTATCAGGGATTTGTAGATCTTCTTGTCCACTGCCCTAAAGATGTGGAAGTGTAGCACGAAGAGACCACATACGCCCGTATACTTATCCCGCTGGTCGATCTCTGACGGCTCACCTGCAAGTCACATGACTGATGTCAGTTGTCTATAGCTAAAACGAAGATGTTGAATGCTGTTTGGAATTCAAAACATATACAAACCAAGCTTTGACTCGATGTTGGCAAAAATGGTTCTGATATTATACGCAAACTCCTCTGCAAAGGCACCGTTTTTAGAGACGGATACACCTTCTTCGGGGTTATCAAACCTCTGCTCCACACAAGCCTGCATGAAAACGGGAAAAAACTCTTATTAACCAACAGCCAATATAGAGTGGAGCAGGTAAGATGTGAAAACCTGGAAGACTATTTCGCCAGTGTTTCCCTTGAGATTTCCTATGGGGTTATATAATGGGTTTTTTCAATCTATGAGTGAAATAAGGTTTGTGATAAACATAAGTTGACGATACTTGAATGTTTTGTTCTACAACATAAATTACACACCCATATCGAAATCGCAAATTTTGAAGCTGTAATGTTTTTTGGGGTTTTTTAAGCGTACGTTTCAAATAAGTAACTGGATAAGAACGTTTGGGGTGTGAGTGTGAGTAATTTATGTTGTTGAAGAAAAAGTCTAAGTATCGAATTAGTCTTCCAGGTTTTGACGTCATACCTGATCCACTCTATTATTTTATTTATTTAAACTTTAAGACAACACATTTAACACATTTAACTTCTGTAAAGTGACATTTCAGTGACCAATAATTCAGGAAAAACTTTGTGAATGATATATGAAAGATATATATATATATATATATATATATATATATATAGAGAGAGAGAGATAAATAGATAATATATATATATATATATAAAATAAATGTATACATATTAGTGCGATATATATATCTTTTTTGTGTGTGTGTGCAGTTAAATTGATTAATCGTATCTGACATAAAAAAGTTTGTTTATATAATACATGTGTGTATATATATATATATATTTGTGTGTATGCGAGTCTGAATGTGTGTATGTGTGTGTGTGTGTATATATATATATATACAGTACATGCACACACACACACACTCACATATATATTTATATATATATACAGTATACATATATTGCACACACACATATATTATATAAACACAAACTTTAATGTTAGATGCGATTAATTGATTAGACAGCACTATTATATATTTTAATTAGTATTTTTTTAATATTATTAAATATTTGTAAAACAATTTTTATATGTACACATATACACCCAACACATACAATAAAGAGCACTGAAAAATGTTAAACTAATTTAATCTATATTAACATACATTTATCACACACACACACACACACACACACACACACACACACACAATGTCCGGAGGGAATATTTGTTTTTAATGAAGATCAAATATGAGAAGTATGTTATATTGGGAAGAACAAAACACTAAACTTGGTTATTGTGTTTATCTGACAATAGGCTTTATGCCAAGCGTCACGTGACCAAACCGGAAACCGGGTCTCATTGCATCCGCTTGTCAGAGAAAGTGTTTACGGCCGTAAGAACTAACTACGATATCTATGGATTTTTAAGGTAATCAGCTAACCTACTAAGTTCAATTTGTTATTGGTGTTTTATGCTATTTAAATATCTAAACGTTAGTGTGAAGAAGAAAAATTTTAAAACTTTTAAATATCAATCTGCACATGCGAGGGACATTGGTTATGCTCATTTTTGCTTGCTCCTTTTAAGTTATCTTGAGTAAAACCGCAACAAATTTCATGAAGCACATACAAAAGACCTGAATCGGAAGCGATGTGATCTGTTTTCCGGCTTGGTCACGTGACGCTCGGCATAAAGCCTATATTATTGGCAAATATTGCCATTAAAGGCAAACTACAGCTACAGACTTTATTATACTATGCAAATAAAACTGAATGGTGTTGACCTGAAAGATCATGCTGTCCAACAGCTGCCCCTCCAGCTTCAGTAAGAGCTTCTCAAAGGGCTTCAGTTTCTCCTCTGGAATGGCAAACTTAGCCGGGTTATGATGGACAGATTTCAGTAACCTTCAGAAAACAACACAGAAAATCTCTTCATCAAGAACCCCAATTTGAAACACCACATTTCATAAATGCATTCATTTATGAAATGCATTTTATGAAATGAAATGTATTCAATTTCAGTTCATTCACATTAATGTCAACATCTAAAATGGTCCCACTCCACCTTTTATACATCTTCCAGTGTTCCCTCAGTGTGGCGTGGTTCTCCATGATCTCATCCAGGGTGATGAGGACCACCAGAAGTTCTCCCAGATGCTCGTACACTGCCTGATTGTAGACAAAGAGAAACCGTCAATACAAGACGTCACGTATCAGTGAGGAACCACATGAAGATGAAAATTACCTGAAAGTGTACACCTGTGGACTCAATGATTTTTGTTGCACCCCTGAGATATAAAAAAAGAATAATTCAGCAACACAGCATTCATGTAACACTACATAACGAGTAAATATTTTATATTTCTCACTTGCTGCTGTTGTATAAAGCAGCCAGCTGGTGAACCATGTTGACCACCACCTCAAAGCAGCGCGACACAAAGCAAGACAGCTCCTGTTACATAAAAACAGAAAAAAATTAATAAATCTATGTGTTTAGGGCTCTTCATTTCTTTTGAATGCAAAAAGATCATGATGTCAAACCTGTAAGAAGGAAATGAAGCGGCCCATCTGAATCTGAGACTCTCCCTCCACCACACTAGTGTCTGACACTGCAATCCAATCAGATTGAGTCATCAAATTCAAATGGCGTCATGCAATACATTTGTATTATTATTAAAAGGTACAGGTTAGTTCAATCAAATTAAAGTCGAACGACAAAGTTGAACATGAAGAGCATTCAATTCTAGCTGGATAAAATCATTTCCTGTTTAATATCCACTCAGATATATGATTATTGAACTAAAATGGGAATAATGTTCAATTTAAAAGATCATCATGCAGACAAGCTGTAAACTGAACTGCAAAAACCAAAACAACAATTGTTACCTCCTTCACCATAATACAACAAGCCATTGTAGAACTTGGTTTCAGCCTAAAAATAGACAGAAGTAGCACAAAACCATTATCAGCTTTGCTAAGTTTACATCTGATTAATTGACTTTATAATCATCTGTTCAAAAGATTGGTGTTGGTATTACTTTTCTTAATGTTTTTTAAATAAGTTTCATGCTCACCAGTGAGGCTGCAATTTATTTAAACAGCAATATTGTGACATATTATTACAGTTTAAAATAACTGTTTTCTGTTTGAATATATTTTAAAATGTAATTTATTCCTGTGATGGCTAAACTGAATTTTCAGCATCATTGATCATCACACGATCCTTCAGAAATCATTATAATATGCAGATTTGCAGCTCAAAACACATTTCTTATTATTTTCAATGCTGAAAGCAGTTGTGCTGCTTAATATTTTTGTGGAAACTGATATTTCTATCAGGATACATGCTGTTCTTTGGACTTTCTATTCAACTGAAAAACAAATATTTTGTTACATTTTTAAATGTCTTTACTTTTGCTCAATTTAATGCATACTTTTTGTATGTTCTTGTACTATTTACATTTATTATCCTCTAACAGTCTCCAACTTACCTCATATTTCAGTTTTTTAACCTCACTGCAAAGAGCTGCATACACTGTGATGACTTTATTAAGCACCTGGTGAAGAGAGAAAGAGAGAGAGAGAGAGAGAGAGAGAGAGAGAGAGAGAGAGAGAGAGAGAGAGAGAGAGAGAGAGAGAGAGAGAGAGAGAGAGAGAGAGAGAGAGAGAGAGGGAGGAAAAAAAGCAACAGGTAAACTCATAATACACTAATTTCACTTCAGATTTGCAGTCCACCAAACTGCAGCATCTAAAACAGCACATTGTTGAACCAAAAATTATTATCAGACCTTATTTTCTGTCTTGATGAGTTCCAACAGTGAGGACTGTTCATACGGCAGGAGCTGGTGTGGAAGAGCAAAGACAGTGATCTTAAATAAATGCAATTCAACAAGACATAATCTCTGATATGAAGATGTAATAATTACAAAACACCTTCAAAGCGATGGGATCCAGAGTGAAGTCCCATACATCTCCGATAGAGTCGTCTAGGGCTTCTTCAATACCCTGGAGCTGAGCGGTATATTCTTCTAAAAACTTCTCATAGTTTTTAACCTGCACTTCTGTGTGAATTTCTGCACAGGAAGGAACCAAATGCAACAGGTCAACAGTCACAAAACCAGCAATAAAAGCTCCAAATGATTTCCTTCCTTATTTGGGTGACAGGAAATTATTTAATTAAACATGTATTTGTTTAATTAAACATGTATGTACATTTATATATACAGTAGTCAACATTTGAAGTGGATCAAAAAAAGTTTATCAAATTTGTCCTGAACGACAAGAACGGGTATTGTTCAAAATTCATGTATAACTTTGATGAAATCTCATTATCTGAAATTACAATAAGGTGATATCTTGTATAAAATAATAGCTATTTTATCCATCTGGATGGGGGTCTTTAGGTCTGTAAAGTTTGACCTTCCCTGTTATAGACCAAAATAATTATATTATAGCATGTATGGTATTCAGAGTTTTGGCATGTAAATCTAACTTAATCATAACTTAAATAAAATAATATCATGTGAATGAAAAATATATATATATTCTGAGCACTGAATTCACTGGCTAATTAAATGAATTACCTATTTTTGCATTAAAATAAATCGAAACATCAAATACAATGATGTGTAGACACTTCCAAATGAAAGTGAAAGTCTTCCTTATCAAATGTTTGTGCAATCAATAAAGCCCACACACATTATTTCTAATCAGAGTGTTTGAACTTGGCCACTTTCCCTGGTCATCTGACAGCTGGCTAACGTTACTCAGCTAACTGCAGGATCTAACTTACAGATTTTTACACATTCCTAATATCATCCCGATCAGACGCGTTACTTACTTTGTGATCCATCATCAAAGCGGTCAAACTCCCAATCAGGAGATAACGAATCCCCAGCCATCCTGATAGAAACGACACAGACTTCTATTTTCAGTCAGCTGCCATTAGGTCAGTCTGTTTGGGGGTTTACTGCACAGTGTCAGAGAGGGGAGGGGCTGTGCTGGAGTCACATGATTCGCACAGTCAAGAGAATTTCCGGTCTGCGTCTCTGGGTGAAATTCATAATAAAAGCACGTGGAAAAATGGCCAGATGTCTATTTCGCCCAAACATTTACGTTTTGTATTTTTTACATATATTTTAATATTGTAATATATATTTTTTGTGTATATGAACTTTTAAAGTATGCTCTGAAGAGAGTTTTTTTGGATACTAATGATGAAAAGTCGTAATTTTGATTAAAAAAAAAACAAGAAAATAAGATCAAATTAAATATTACATTTGTGTAAATTTATAATCTCCGATATATATATATATATATATATATATATATATATATATATATATATATATATATATTCAGATATATATATATATCGGAGATTATAAATATATATATATATATATATATATATATATATATATATATATATATATATATATATATATATATATATATATATATATATATATATATATAAACATTGCTATTAAAAACTAATGGCTTTTTATATAAATGGCTTTATATATATATATAAAAACATTGCTATTAAAAACTAATGGCTTTACGTATCAAGAACAAGAATCAGTGACTTTTGACTTGCAGTTCTCCCTCTGTCCTGCGGGTGGCGCCCTGAAGCACAGCGACAACAACACAAATAATGAAACAACTTTCTCCTCGTAATTGTACGATAGAGAATTGTACAGATGAATGCATTGTTATTTACCAGTCTGTTGAACCGCAAACGCCTGAAGGCCACATTCATAAAGTTTTAGTCTGGCCTCGGTTTTCTAATGAGAAATGTGTGCCAAATGAGTTCATGATCAGTATGAGCTCAGCACAAAGAGATTGACTTCACTGTCACACAGTCAGTCTGCTATTAAAGTATGGAAGCTGGAAGGCTGAATGAGAGAAAAAGTTAAAAATGTGTTCGGCAACCACCACATGTTCAACTTGTTGTTTTTAGGGCTTTGCTGCTTTAAGGTAAGGTACATTTTTGTAAACAATGAATTGAAGTTATAAGTTTATGATTACTTTCAGTAGTGATTACCTAAACACATCTTATTAAATATTAAGAATTTAAATGTTCTGCTTATATATTGGTATGTTAGACCAATATAATCACATGTACTGAATGATAATTCTGTTGTCTGTAAATGTAGATGAGAAATATGCACTGACTGATCTGTGTTTTTCTCAAAAGCTGAAGAAACACCTTCACAGCAACGTTAGTTTTTTGTAATTTGATGCAAAGGTAATATACCGGAAATACTAAGTATAGTGTTATAAATGCACATACATTTTTTAATATATTTTCAAAAATGACCGTCATTATCACAGTCTGTGAAAAAGGTCAATTTTGCCCACACTTTGCCATAGCCACAGAATTTATTTTTCATCTCAAATTGGTGAGTTTGTAGAAAAAAAGTTATTGTTTATTTTTTTGGACAAATAAAAACCTTTAACTTTGAACTTTAAGCTTAATGGTTAAAACCTTATTCACAGTTTTAATTCACACAAACGAGACTGTACAATGTCAAAAGCTGACTGTGAATATGTTAATAATTGGAGAGCGTGTGAAGCCAATGATGTACAACACAAAATAGTGGTATAATCTGCATAAAGATGATACCTAACATTATGAATATTATCACAAATGTTATTTATATATAAAGAAAATAATATGGTTCCTTGGACTCACCCCTGAGTAACTCCTTCAGAGACATGCAAAACAGATGAGGTACAACCCTCTAAAAGGTTGATCTAAAATTCATCTATACACATGATTCATTATATCAAATATCTTTACATGATTGACTTCAAACAAACAACTCTTGGTACTTTGAATTCGAACATCTTAATTATTTTTCGAAAGGTCGTGTAATGGGATCCATCACTGAAACAAACCAGAAAGAGTGTGAGCTGACCTCAGCTCACCTGCCATCTGAAAATGGGCATCAATTTATACCAGAGACCATAAGACCTGACATAGAATCAAGCTTCACTCGTATCTGCAGTAAGGAGTTTTCAGAGTCATATCCGCTGCTTCGTAATTCGGGAACAAAACTGGGACAACATCAGGACAACATTGGGACAACATCGGTTTCCTGGACCATATCGCAGGATGAGCCTCAGAATTTTCATGGCCAGGAGATGCCAAGTGAGTCGATCTGGGCCATGGGGATACAGATTTTGGTTCCATTCCTCCTGGCAGGTTTTGGAACGGTGCTGGCGGGGATGTTGCTGGACCTAGTGCAGGTGAGTGTGGGAGATGATCTTGGGTGGATGTTTGGGATTTTTGACTATAAATTGTTGCCTTGTGTTTATAAATTAGCACTGGGACGTTTTCACTTCTGTGACCGAGATCTTCATCCTTGTCCCACCTTTACTGGGCCTAAAGGGGAACCTTGAGATGACACTGGCATCAAGACTCTCCACCGCTGTAAGATTACTATGTTATCTATATACCTATTAAATCCCACTGGACCAGCATTTTTTTTAGGCTGGTTTATGCTGGTTTTGTGCCAATCTAAAACCCAGACTTTTCCCCAGAATAAAGATTTAGGGATGCACAGTATATTGGTTCCATATTGGCATATTGTTTTTTTTTGTAATTTAGAAATTGTAAAAATAGAAATGCAATTCTATTTGCTAATTTTCTCTAATTACATTTTCTGTCATTTATTGATCACTTACAGTTCATCTTTAAAAATTTAATTACACTGCTAAATGTAATTTTTTACCAATCTCGAATTGAATATCCTTTTTAGTGCTGTCAAATTGGTTAATCGCGATGAATTGGATCTAACATAAAAGTTTACATAATATATATGTATATTTTATTAGATTTATATATATTATATGTGTGTCTGTGTATACATAGATACATATATATATATATACATATATATGTATAAATATTAGTGCTGTAAAATCGATTAATCGTGATTAATCACAATTTTTGTTTATATAATATACACTCACTGGCCACTTTATTAGGTACACCTGTCCAACTGCTCGTTAACACTTAATTTCTAAGCAGCCAATCACATGGCGGCAACTCAGTGCATTTAGGCATGTAGACATGGTCAAGACAATCTCCTGCAGTTCAAACCAAGCATCAGTATGGGGAAGAAAGTTGATTTGAGTGACTTTGAACGTGGCATGATTGTTGGTGCCAGAAGGGCTGGTCTGAGTATTTCAGAAACTGCTAATCTACTGGGATTTTCACGCACAACCATCTCTAGGGTTTACAGAGAATGGTCCGAAAAAGAAAAAACATCCAGTGAGCGGCAGTTCTGTGGGCGGAAATGCCTTGTTGATGCCAGAGGTCAGAGGAGAATGGCCAGACTGGTTCGAGCTGATAGAAGGGCAACAGTGACTGAAATAACCACTCGTTACAACCGAGGTATGCAGCAAAGCATTTGTGAAGCCACAACACGCACAACCTTGAGGCGGATGGGCTACAACAGCAGAAGACTCCACCGGGTACCACTCATCTCCACTACAAATAGGAAAAAGAGGCTACAATTTGCAAGAGCTCACCAAAATTGAACAGTTGAAGACTGGAAAAATGTTGCCTGGTCTGATGAGTCTCGATTTCTGTTGAGACATTCAGATGTTAGAGTCAGAATTTGGCGTAAACAGAATGAGAACATGGAACCATCATGCCTTGTTACCACTGTGCAGGCTGGTGGTGGTGGTGTAATGGTGTGGGGGATGTTTTCCTGGCACACTTTAGGCCCCTTAGTGCCAATTGGGCATCGTTTAAATGCCACGGCCTACCTGAGCATTGTTTCTGACCATGTCCATCCCTTTATGGCCACCATGTACCCATCCTCTGATGGCTACTTCCACCATGTCACAAAGCTCTAATCATTTCAAATTGGTTTCTTGAACATGACAATGAGTTCACTGTACTAAAATGGCCTCCACAGTCACCAGATCTCAACCCAATAGAGCATCTTTGGGATGTGGTGGAACGGGAGATTCGCATCATGGATGTGCAGCCGACAAATCTGCGGCAACTGTGTGATGCCATCATGTCAATATGGACCAAACTCCCTGAGGAATGCTTCCAGCACCTTGTTGAATCTATGCCACGAAGAATTGAGGCAGTTCTGAAGGCAAAAGGGGGTCCAACCCGTTACTAGCATGGGGTACCTAATAAAGTGGCCGGTGAGTGTATGTGTGTGTGTGTATATATATATATATATATATATATATATATATATACTGTATATATATATATATATACACATATACAGTAGATACAGTATGTGTGTGTGTGTGTGTGTGTGTGTACACACCTATATATGTATATTTTATATACATGTGCCACATTAAGGCACATTTTGACAGGATGGTAAGGTGGCTCTTAGCCAAGGTCGGTTTACTTGTCGCCATGACCAAGTACTGCGATGTTTGGCTTTAGCACTGGAAGGCAAGCGTAGTATGACCAATAAGTTGCCGTCTGTTCTAGCAAAACATTACACGCAGAAGACAATATTCCTCCACCCAGGCGAGCAACCACCAAGAAAAGGTGTTAACACGAATTCTCGCCCAGGACAACTGGAAGCTGCTAGGGACTGGAAGATGCTGGCTGATCTTGACCAACGGCTTATTTTTCCACCTGAGATTGCCACCACTAACCTACGACCAGATATTGTTTTGTGGTCTGGATCAGCACGCATTGTTCAACTGATAGAGTTAACAGTGCCATGGGAGGATGCTGTAGATGAGGCATATGAGAGGAAGAAACTGCGGTATGCTCATCTGGCCACTGAAGCAGAACAGCGAGGATGGAGAGTCCAGGTTTATCCAGTGGAAGTGGGTTGTCGAGGTTTTGTGGCACACTCTACAACCCGGTTCCTCAGAGACGTCGGATTCAGCGGCCAAGAGTTGCGTCGCACAGTAAAGAACTTATCTGAAGCAGCAGAAAGGAGCAGCAACTGGCTGTGGTTGAGACGGAAAGATTCTGGCTGGCTGTGTACAGGCCGCCACGCTACGGTTTCGTAGAATTCTTGAAAACTTGAAGAGTCTGTTGGTTTATTTGTATACGTTCCTGTGGATATTGCGTGAATGACGGGTGGTTGGGCAGATATTGTGTTTTGCGGTAGGTGGTACGCCATGCGGAACCGTTGTCCACTGAAACTGCATATTAACGCACCAGTGGGGCTCGACAGCCTTAGTCAAACGGGTTGGCGCGTATGGTCGGGTTGCGGAGAGATTGTGAGATTGTGGTTAGGTCTCAGCAGCAGGAGGGATGTAGAGGTCAGTAAGCTGGGCTGAGTTGAGTGGGGGACGGAGGGGGGTGACTCTGTTTACATAATACAGAGTATTATGTAAACAAAAACTTTTATGTTAGATGCAATTAATTGCGATAAATCCATTTGGCATCACTTTATTTTTTTTTACTTTATAATGTTGTAATGGATAAATTCACTTGTAGGATTTAAAGCAATTGATTTGAGTTTTTTGTGTTTTATTTTTAATTTATTTTGGCAAAGTATTATAGAATTCTAATATCGGCCATTTCTCTTAAATGTGAAAATAATTTACTTATTGGTATCAGCCATAATTTTACATTTTAAATTCCAGTGTACAAAATGGTTCATCGTAGAGTAAAAAAAGGTTCTTCAGATTATTACAATTTTCTTCACACTAAGAAAAAATTGTTCTTTCAAGAACTGTTCACTGAAAGGTTATTTTTAGAACCCAAAAATGGTTCTTCCATGGCATCCCTACTTTATTTTTTAGAGTGAGTGGAGACGTGGAAATATCTGGGTAATTTAAAAGGGGAAAAAATAATGGAAATTAATTAATAACTCAGTTGTTTTAATTATTCATAAATTAATATGCTCATCAAAAAAAAAAAAAAAAGCTTTAATCTGCTAGATTTAGATTTTCTTTATTTGATTTGGACAGTATTCACGAACGACTGGAAAAGTCATGGAAATTCATTGATTGAAATGTGTGGGAAGTGGGAACCCTGATCTGCCCACTGTCCCATTACACATTATCTACTTATTCCTCCTTGTTGAAGTCTGATCTGCTGTATTGTATCTGCGTTGTGTTCTTTCCCCTTCATCACATGCTTTTTGTCATGGTTAGGAACTTCATACCATGCTGTGAATAAAAACAGCCTTCAGGGTTATACATAGCGTTTTGAACTAAACAAAAAGGTTTATTTTTTGTAATGCTTTATATTGCTTAAAGAAAACAAATAACAGTCATTCAACTCTTCAATATCAATATTGCAGGTGAACGTTGGCAGAATGAACTCTTCAAGCGAGAAGTGGAACCTGATCATCGGAAATCTTGCCCTCAAACAGGTTAATGCAGCTCATTTACTCATTTGATACTTGTGTGGCTCTGTTCTGTTCTTCATTCAACTTAATTTGTCTCTTTAGATACAAGCTACAGTTCTGGGCTTCTTGGCTGCTCTTGTAGCATCGGCTCTTGGATGGATCCTGGAAGAGGAGCTCTTCATGAACCATGTAGCTCTGCTTTGCTGTTGCAGCGTGGTGACAGCGTTCACAGCATCTCTGCTGCAGGGTTTGCATCCAAATTTGTGACCAATTTTTATCGACCTAAAATAGACCATTTATAACACCATTAAATGCTTCATGGTCATCAAATACGGAGGACATCATCTTTGTCGGTGCTGATCATGAGGTTATTCTCACTTGAATGGCTTATGGCTTGTGATCTTGGCCACGCAAACCCATTTTCCACACAGGCCCCGAATATAGACCCAATATCCTCAGGCCACATAGCTCACATTATCAGCATTCGGCATAAATGGATAGAACTGTCAGTATGATTAATGGAAGCAGTTCCTTAGTGATGACAAACAAGGTTAAGCACTGAACATTATTTCTGTCATGACAACTCAGGAGATTGGTATGGTAATAGAGATTAGCATGGTAATGGATGTGGCAATGGTAATGTATCTGGTCAGAATAGATCTGCTACTGCTGATGCTGCAGAGCAAGTACCGAGACTTGCTACTGCCAATAATACACAGACATTGCTGTGAGAATGTTAGACATGCTGCTCCTGCTGCACATGTAAAGCCCGGGACACACCAAGCTGACGGTCGGCCGCCGGCCAGTTTTTGTGAGTCGGCCGACTAAGTTTTCTCAGTGTGTTCCACGCCGTCGGCTGAAATTGGTCCTCGACCGTTTTTTTTTCGGCCGATTCGACATGTTGAATCGGCGTCGGGCCGTCGGTGACAGAGAGAACTCTGATTGGCTGTTCAGCTTAGTGAACGAGTCAGTGCAGAATAATAGCAAAACAGCGAGCAAAGTCAAAACGCTACAGATAGAAGGCTGTTCTAATGTTACGTCATCTTACCTGAGTGTTCCTTGGCGAATATTTCAATATTAACACGAGCGGAGTGGAATAAAGTGTTTAGCAGGATTGATATTTAAAACGGTAAGCACGCACTGCTTTGTTTACGGTTTGTGTACCTGCAGCGTCGGTTTCCCTTTTTGAATGACGAATATAGATTAATATATCTGCAGAAATAGACAGTTCTCTCATTTACAAGCAGGCGCAGACAGTCGGCTGTAGTTCTCTCTGTGTGTGCAAGTGCAGCTTTTTTCCCTCGATGCAGGCGACTTTCATCAGCGCTAGTTCTTTGGCGTCTGTGCCTACCTTAACATACATGAAATAACCCCTAGCAGATCTATACAGGTGGAGCTGGGGAAGGTGCAGGGTTTCTGAAAGAGCGATGTAGACTGCTAACATGCTAACAGCGACACTACTGGTATTTGTTTGAATGTTAAGCCGCAGCTCATTGGCCGCTGATGCAACAACAACCAATCAGCTGTGTCAAGTCAAGTCAAGTCATCTTCATTTATATAGCGCTTTTAACAATGGATTGTTTCAAAGCAGCTTTACAGAGATAAACATATAATTTAAGGTAACAGATTGTTTTGGCGTTATAGCGGTTCTTGAATAATTTTACATCCAGCTAAAGTTAACTTTGATTGATTCACCTCTGTCGAAATGATCAGACTTTAAACGCGAACCTGTGATTAACGCTGACGGCGTTCACATGCTCATTCAGAATTCTATAGTTATGTGCTTTTTAAAATATGTGTGCAGGTTTGTAATTCATACAACCCAGCTGTGCTATGTAGATAATGACGTGATCGCTACCAAATGAGTTAAAGACCTATCAGCCTGCACCATCTAGAGTTTCATGCCAGAACTAGGTATTAACCCCCACACTCTTAAGGTGCGGTCATATTTACCGTTGTTCGGGAAATTTTCGCATCTTTTCTGTAGGAATCTACCTGTTCGGAAATTTCACGTAAGGGCGAATGATTTCCTCACACAGATTTTTAACTGACCCCAGACTTAGTGTACATAAGAATTTATTTGTAAATTTCATTCCGCATGTATAAATTCTGAATGGTTTTGATATAATAACATTTTTCCAGGGATCTTAATGGTTGGTGTGATTCTTGGGTCCAAGAAGGTGGGCGTCAACCCTGACAACATAGCCACGCCCATCGCTGCCAGTTTTGGTGACCTCATCACACTTGGACTGCTCGCCATCATCAGTCAAGGCTTATTTTACTGCATGGGTGAGAATGAAAGACCAGTTCACTGGACAAAGATTAGTTTACTGAGAGGTGTGTGCTATTTTTACTCTCTTTAACACCCTTTTATTTTGTAACTCTCTTTGTTTGTAGAACCTTACCCTTATATTACCTACGTGGTGTGTATTGTTTTCCTGTCCCTGACGCCGGTGTGGGCCATTCTTTCATTTCGGCACCCTGAAAGCCAAAAACTGCTGTTTTCCAGCTGGGAGCCAATAATAACCGCACTGGTGATCAGCAGGTAAATGTTCCCCACTTAGTACATCAATATAAGTCTAGCATGGACCATTTTGTGATGATGCAACTGTAATTATGTTGGTACGACCAGCTTATCTTTTTGTTTTTTCATTTCATATCTCCAGTCTTGGAGGACTGATTCTGGACCGAACCGTCGCAGATCCAATGCTTGAGGGAGTTGTTCTCTACACTCCTGTAATAAATGGTGGGTCAAACAAAACTCACTTGCTGTGTTCTGATCAACTGTGACTGTTTTAAATTTCCAATATAAACCTTTCCTTAAGGTGTTGGTGGTAATCTGGTTTCCGTCCAGGCTAGTCGTATAGCCACGTATCTTCATTTTCACTGTCCTCCGGGCGAACTTCCAGGCGACTCTAAACGATGTTTCTGTCCCTGCCGCAGCTTTTACACCACAGGTAAAGGCCACATAAACTCACAGCGAAGTTATTTTGTATTCTTTACTTTGGGGTAAAAGATTTTGTGGTGTATCTTTGCAGCGGTGGACTGTTAGCGAACATCCTGACCCCATCCACACTGTTTGGAGCGACGTTTAGGTGTAAATACGTGCTGTGTGCTTTCCTCTCAATAACAAAATAAAAACAGTAGCTAAGAAAGCATCTGATCATAGCGATGTAGATATGTTTGCACCAGCTCTGCATTTGGCACTCAATTCCAAGTAGATATAGTTGCAGTCCGGAGAACTCCAAAAGGGGTGGAGTCCCCACACTGATGGGCTGCATCTGAAATCGCATACTTCCCTACTATATAGTAGGCGAAAAACAGTATGTGACCAAAGAAGTATGTCTGAATTCACAGTACTCATAAAAGAGTTGGCAAAAAGTACGGATGACCTACTTCTTGCGCGATTCTGAAGTGTGCATACGATGGACACTTTACTATCCCATGAGGCCACGGGAAGCGAAGTAATTGATGCTGGTAGGTCACATGATAATGACAACATGGCGAATATAGTAAGTCCAGATTACATTCATACTACACACATTCATACTATATAGAAGATACTTTTTTAGCGGACGGTAAGTAAATACTTATTCGAAATAAGTAAGAGAGTATGCGATTTCGGACGCAGCCTCAGGGCCCTATTTTAACGATCAAAGCCAATGGTCCCATGTCCAAATCCACTTTTGCTAGTTTAACGATGGTAAAAATGGTCGGAATTTGCAAGCGGAAAAACTGATAGCTTCTCTAGCGAGGAAACGGATTTGCTTGTGCGTGAGGTTAAAGCGGGCAAGCAGACCATCTACGGCACAACGTGTACGCATGTTGTGGACCCGCCTATAGGCGCACATTACTAACGCGCTCTCTAAATAACAAAAAAATATTGCGCCCAGGTTTCAGTTGGTCAATGGTGCAGTCTATTTCAGTTGCCATAAAATAGCAACGCGCCAACAATGCGCCTGAACACACCTCGTTTTCAGACCAGCATGCCCATGGGCGCACAAATGGGCGCAAATGCATTTGCTATTTAACCCTTTGATGCACAAGCTATGCAAACCCCTTCTAATGCACAACATGGGTCTAAAAAGACCCGCATTCATTTCCTGTGTTATTTCATGCATGGCTTGGCATTTTTTTTTGTAAAAATGCCAAGCCATGAAATCTGAAATCAAGCCACGAGATCTTTTGAAATCTGTATTTCAGCATTTAATATTCCATGATCTATGTATTCCATGATTTATGAATATTCAAAATATCTTGTTTTCAATGATCACAAATTCTTATTTGAATATGTTAATACATCAAGTTTACACACATGGGTCAAAAATGACACCGCATTGCGCCGGGTGTATGATAGGGCCCGTAGACTTTTGCTTACATTTTGAAATAAAAGTTCATATATTAAACACTGTTCCCTGAGCTTTATTTGACTGTATCGCTTTGTTCTAAGTGGCGAGTGCGACTCAAGATTCTCGGGGAGGGGGCGGTGATACTGGGTGCAACTAAAAAGGTTCTGTTGTCCGATGAGGTCCGGTTTCAGACAGTCGATGGAGAAGGGTAGGTGAACTAACCCGAAGACAAATATCACCTTTGCATTGCTTCTTACAGGGCCGAATGGAAGATCAGCACAGGTGCTGCTCATGTTGGCCATCCCAGGTCACCTGATCTTCATCTACACCATTTACCTAATACAAGGCAGCCCGGCTCCACCCACTGCTGTCTTCATTTCCTTCTATTTGGTAGCAGCTTTCACACAGGCAAGTGATGTTAGCGTGTGTCTTATTGAGGAGAGGAGTGGTATTTGACTCTGAATCTTCTTCCATTCAGGTGTTTCTCCTGCTGGGCACCGCTGATGTGATGGTTCACTGCTTGTGGAAATGCGGCAGGGACCCTGATAGCTTCTCTATCCCGTATCTGACGGCTCTGGCGGATTTGTTGGGCACTGCCTTTCTAGCACTGTGTTTTCTTCTATTGTCACTGGTGACATAAATGTAGAAATGACATTGTCATATTTCATTAAACAGACCACTATCTGATGTGCTGGTTTACATTTCTCTGCACAGTTGAACATTAGTGAATGACTTTACTTGAAATATTTGAAATATCAATCTCTCCATACATGCAGTTCAATGAATCACACATGCGGCCTCATGTGACAATAGTACTTCTCCAAGTCACATGACCATCTTCACTGAATAAAGAACAGCTGTTTCCATATGTTATTATGTTAAACATACGACTGATTTGCACTCATCTTCCTTGATCAGTATTTAGGGCAGAATTTTCAGTATGGTTCTAATAAATATGTTTTATGATTCAGAAATGTGTATTTAGGTACATTGAGATGTGGCAGGCCATTAAATTAAATGGGATTGATGTCCAATTATTTGCGTTGGGCAGCCTATACAATTTACTAATGCATTTTATTTGTCTATTTATTATTGGTCAGGATGGATTAAAACAATAATGTCTTGGTGTTGCTAGTTTATTATTTTATTATATTTTGCTGTGAAGGACATAAAACGTATCAATTCACTCATGTAAATGTATCAATGCTAATGTAGATTGATGAAAGGAAGAAAATTACTGTGGATAATTTGTATAAATGATTTGTATAAAAATCATTTAAATTATCTGAAAACTGCATGTAACTGAATGTAAACAGACTTCTTTGTACTGTGAGAAACATTTTATAAAAATATTAGCATGATTGTGATTAGCCTATACAAACAACATTAAAATAATAGATTTTTATATTGTTACTGTACTTTATTCAAAGCAAATCATTAAAATATCACCTATAAATATCATTATATTTATATTATTGTTCATAAATGAGTGTCAAATCAAAATCAAGAACACCATGAACACAAGATCAAAGACTGGAAAAAAAATCGATTTAACTGGAAATGACAGACAAGAATATTTGTATCACACATCGATCTCATATTTCATTAAGCTCTTCACTAACACATTTTAATATATATATATATATATATATATATATATATATATATAATGCATTAGGGAGAATTTTTTTTTTTACTCTGTTCATATCATAGTTTTAAAATGTCATGTTTTTATGATGGATTGTTCAAGACTGAAGGTCTCAGTCTTGGAAAAGGGGGAGAACGAGAAGTCCACTTCTGTACACACAAAACATTTGAAAAGTAGCAGAAATAAATCATAAAGACACATAAAAGTGGCCTTGATATAACAAAACAGAAAACGTTGATATCTATTATCTATTAAGGGAATTTACGTGTTAAGCAGTAGACTGATCTTCTCAAGCCAATTTTAGTGCAGTGTACCAATCAGTACCAATAAGAGGCGCTGTTTCGACACATTGCGGTTTTATTTTTAAACTTGCCTATAGCGCCACCTGGTGTCCGAGTGAGGCTCCTCCTCGAGGACTGTTCAGCCCTGCGCAGGGACTGGCTCTCCCGCAGCCATTTTCTGTCCAACCAAACGGCCGAACTGAGACGCGAACCAACCAGGGCTTCATCGCAGGTTAGTGTGCGGCTCCGGCCAATGATTGCTAACCCATATTTTGTTACATCGAATTGGAAATCTCCGTGTGCGAGTGTTTTATTATTAGTTGGCGGGGAGAATGAGAAATTAAGCGCGCGATATGAAAAGCAACTCGCTGTTGTGGCAATAATTGTAAAAAGCCCGTCATGGTGCTCGGCCCCTTTGTTTACTACGACCCGTTTTGACGGATACACTGGTGCTTTGGCTCGTCGTCCTTGTTATCTGCCCTCTTCTGCTCTTAATGCGTTTATCAATTAAAATAATTCATTGTAGCAATTCGTCTGAATATTTCGGGGGGAAATGTGGTTTGAGTTGATTTAGCGTGTTTAATCTTACATGTTCATTGATATCACCGGCTGTTTAGCCAATAAAATACACCAATGTGGTTTGGTATGTAGATACAATAGAATATACTATACACAGAAGAGTCTTATTATTAATTATATATTGAAGCCAGGCAGTTCAGGCTACATATGTCATTTATATCATATGACATATTTTAATATCCTAGGTGTGTGTGTGTGTGTAGATAATATATGAATAGCAAACTATAAAATTTGTTTTGCTGTTCTTCAAATGATAAATAGGCCTATATGTTTGTGTGAAATAAAGTGATCCATTGAGCAGACAGTTCTGAATAAACATTTATTACTGAATAAAATAAAGGTTACATTTATGAATGGTTTATTAATTGTACATATGATGACAAGATGGCTGTCTCAAAATATTGGATGCCCACATGTTTATATAAGTCCAGTAGTGCACTGTGATGGCCCAAAATACTGTCTAGATAGGCAGGTCACTTGGTTTTAAGACCAGACCAATATGTACAAATGTAGTACAATTTAATTTATGTTTCAGATGGACGGAGACAGTTCAACCACAGATGCCTCCCAGCTTGGCATAACAGGAGAATATATGGCTGGTAGTCACTTTGTTCTCCAAGCTCAGGATGGTAAGTGAAGTCAAACATCATATAAAATAACCCAAATGCTTTATTTAGCATTTAGATAATTGATGAATAAATAATATTATATATAATATATTTTATATAATATTTTACATAATTTATTAATATTTTGGATTCATTTAAATATGACTTTTAAATAAATAGAATTGTAAATAATAATTAAATGTTATATGTAAAAATAAAATATTTAAATGAAAAAATAAGTCATATTTAAATTATTCTGAATTATTTATTTATTATTTAGATTATGCATTTATTATTATTATTATTATTATTTTGTAAAGATGAAGGTGATGAGGGACTCAACGACCATGAGGATGGGAATGGAAGCAAAGATAACCTACGGGAGCAAGACATCTATCTCCCAATCGCTAACGTTGCCCGAATCATGAAGAATGGAATACCACAAACAGGAAAGGTAATTTATTTTTTCTGGTTTTGTTTGGAGAAATTAAATGCTTTTTTAAATGTTAATTATTTTTGTTTATGTATTAAAAAGATGCACATTTTGATCACCTTTCTATTAATTTCTTTATTAAAAGCTGCTTATTTAAGGCCCATTGTTTTCCTAAGCGAAAGTGAAACTTTCAAGTCAAATGCATGTTATTAAAAAAAAAAAAAAAAATTCTCCGTCCATCCAATCAGATTGCAAAAGACGCCAAGGAGTGTGTGCAGGAGTGTGTGAGCGAGTTCATCAGTTTCATCACTTCAGAAGCCAGCGAGAGGTGCCATCAGGAGAAACGCAAGACGATAAACGGGGAAGACATCCTGTTCGCGATGTCCACGCTGGGTTTCGACATGTATGTGGAGCCTCTGAAGCTCTACCTGCAGAAGTTCAGAGAGGTAGCGTTAACATTTTAATGCCATGCCATCAGATATCATTGAAATAAGGGCTTTTTGGAAACACTTTGCACAGCTATCAGATGTGTGTCTTTCTCGTTTTGATTGGTAGATAGATCTTACATTTGTGTGTATGTTCGCAGGCTATGAAAGGAGAAAAAGGCATAAGCACTGTAACTGTAACCGAAGGCATGGGAGAGGAGCTGACCGATGAGTCTTTCAGTAAGTAACTTATGAACTTGATGGGTATGTTACTGGTGCCGTGGCTTTCTACATACAGCTAAACCTGAATGTATTAATTTTGTTTATATACTATAAAGTATTTATTCATATTTTGAGTTATCTTTTTTTTTTTTATTATTTCCAGATTTAATTTTAGTGTTAAGTGTTAGTAATTTAAGTAAAAGTATATTTTTTCTTTTTATATTTTTATGTAGATTATTTTTTCTTTCTTTCAGTTTTCAACATAAACTTGTTTTATTTCATTTAGTTGCAAAAGTAACATTTCTAATTTTTGTTTAAAGTGCCCCTATTTTGCTATTTTAAAGGTCCCTGATTTTGTTTTAAAGGTCTCCTTCATGCATCCAAGATCAAAAACACTTTAATTTTCTCACAATAAACATCTGGGCTGCGTTCAGCCCCGACAAAACGTTGCACAACGTTTTTTAAACAGAAACGGTGATGCGTTGAACACACTGTTCTGATGACGCAAGAGTTGCAACTATGGCAGCTGAGAAGGCCATTCTTTGTGAAGAATTTTCGGAGCCTGATGAAGTCGGTATAAATATATGTTTAATACTACAAAATATGCCCGATGTTACAGTTACTGCACTTGCCGGCCAGAACACAAGAGAACATCCCAATCGAGTGAAGGGATTTGTGGAAACTGAAATGGAAGCACACATCTTACCTAATTCAGACTAAAACACATCTATAGCCTCACATACTGACTTTATTTGTAGTTCATACTGTTTTAATACCCTGTATTTTCTTTCTAATTTTTAGGGAAAGCACTTAATTACACTTGCAATGAAGCTAAAAATATAAACAACTACATCATTATGTTGATATCCTATATTTTTACAATAAAACTTACGACAAACATGTCTTCTAATATCCTCAGTTGTTGCGTATACCGAGCTGCATCGAACACATTTGTAAATTACTTTCCTTGAACCCATTGTGCGAGTTCACTTTAATACCGCGTGCTTTATATACATGTTGCTGCTGATTGGACTGCAGTTCTGACACACCCACCAAACAAGAGAAAACGCATCTCAAACCCCGTTCCACACCCGGTGCACGCCGTTTCCAGGAAACATGACGTTCAACCCGGAAACCGTAGCAAAACGTTGCGCACCGTTTTGAACTTGAACCTGCCCCTGTTGTGACTGGCTCAGTCTGTTGTGATTGGTCTTGTAATAGGGTTTTTTAATTAATAAAATAGTAAACTGTATATTAAACTAACCATGTTTCTAACATCTAACCGTATTTCCATTTTAGGCCCAACAGGCTAACCATTCTAACACTCTGAAACAGAATGTACTAAAACGTTCTGTCCTGTGTTTTTGAATGTTGTATGTTGTGTTGCCATACCCCTTTGACTTTGGTTGTGTGAGTGTAACAAATAACAAATATGGGAAATGAAACTAGACAGATGTCTAGTTTCATAACTTCTGATCATGAAGTAATCACAGAAACAGAGTTTGTTTTACCTGGTAACAGAAGGGTTTGCAAATGAAGATCCAATCAAATTGTAGGGAAATTATGTAGTGCATCATGGCATTGTTGCCATACCCCTATTCTATAAAAACTGTTGTATTTGTGTTTTACTGGTGGGATTCTCAATGGAATTTCTCTGAGATCCTCCGGTCTTGCTTCTTCTTGGGGAAAGTTCTCTGAGGAAATGTCGAGAACTCTCTCCCGGCAGTGATTAAAGCATTTAGAGGACCTTTGCTGAAGTCTGTCAGTTTCTTACTGCTGCACAGCAGGATAGATAGGGAAGCAAGTAAGTTAGTTAGGGGAGCAAGTTAGGGTATAGGATTAGACTCAGCTGAAGTCGACTGTACTCGCTGGAGGATAGACTAAACGTCGACTGAAGACTTTAGGGGACGTCGATTGTAGACGAGACTCAGATAGACTAAACGTCGACTGAAGACTTTAGGGGACGTCGATTGTAGACGAGACTCAGATAGACTAAACGTCGACTGAAGACGTTAGGGGACGTCGATTGTAGACGAGACTCAGATAGACTAAACGTCGACTGAAGACTTTAGGGGACGTCGATTGTAGATGAGACTCAGATAGAGTAAACGTCGACTGAAGACTTTAGGGGACATCGATTGTAGACGAGACTCAGATAGACTAAACGTCGACTGAAGACTTTGGGGGACGTCGATTGTAGACAAGACTCAGATAGACTAAACGTCGACTGAAGACTTTAGGGGACGTCGATTGTAGACGAGACTCAGATAGACTAAACGTCGACTGAAGACGTTAGGGGACGTCGATTGTAGACGAGACTCAGATAGACTAAACGTCGACTGAAGACTTTAGGGGACGTCGATTGTAGACGAGACTCAGATAGACTAAACGTCGACTGAAGACTTTAGGGGACGTCGATTGTAGACGAGACTCAGATAGACTAAACGTCGACTGAAGACTTTAGGGGACGTCGATTGTAGACGAGACTCAGATAGACTAAACGTCGACTGAAGACTTGAGGGGACGTCGATTGTAGACGAGACTCAGATAGAGTAAACGTCGACTGAAGACTTTAGGGGACGTCGATTGTAGACGAGACTCAGATAGACTAAACGTCGACTGAAGACTTTAGGGGACGTCGATTGTAGACGAGACTCAGATAGACTAAACGTCGACTGAAGACTTTAGGGGACGTCGATTGTAGACGAGACTCAGATAGACTAAACGTCGACTGAAGACTTTAGGGGACGTCGATTGTAGACGAGACTCAGATAGACTAAACGTCGACGGAAGACTTTAGGGGACGTCGATTGTAGACAAGACTCAGATAGACTAAACGTCGACTGAAGACTTTAGGGGACGTCGATTGTAGACGAGACTCAGATAGACTAAACGTCGACTGAAGACGTTAGGGGACGTCGATTGTAGACGAGACTCAGATAGACTAAACGTCGACTGAAGACTTTAGGGGACGTCGATTGTAGACGAGACTCAGATAGACTAAACGTCGACTGAAGACTTTAGGGGACGTCGATTGTAGACGAGACTCAGATAGACTAAACGTCGACTGAAGACGTTAGGGGACGTCGATTGTAGACGAGACTCAGATAGACTAAACGTCGACTGAAGACTTTAGGGGACGTCGATTGTAGACGAGACTCAGATAGAGTAAACGTCGACTGAAGACTTTAGGGGACGTCGATTGTAGACGAGACTCAGATAGACTAAACGTCGACTGAAGACTTTAGGGGACGTCGATTGTAGACGAGACTCAGATAGACTAAACGTCGACTGAAGACTTTAGGGGACGTCGATTGTAGACGAGACTCAGATAGACTAAACGTCGACTGAAGACTTTAGGGGACGTCGATTGTAGACGAGACTCAGATAGACTAAACGTCGACTGAAGACTTTAGGGGACGTCGATTGTAGACGAGACTCAGATAGACTAAACGTCGACTGAAGACTTTAGGGGACGTCGATTGTAGACGAGACTCAGATAGACTAAACGTCGACTGAAGACGTTAGGGGACGTCGATTGTAGACGAGACTCAGATAGACTAAACGTTGACTGAAGACTTTAGGGGACGTCGATTGTAGACGAGACTCAGATAGAGTAAACGTCGACTGAAGACTTTAGGGGACATCGATTGTAGACGAGACTCAGATAGACTAAACGTCGACTGAAGACTTTGGGGGACGTCGATTGTAGACGAGACTCAGATAGACTAAACGTCGACTGAAGACTTTGGGGGACGTCGATTGTAGACGAGACTCAGATAGACTAAACGTCGACTGAAGACTTTAGGGGACGTCGATTGTAGATGAGACTCAGATAGAGTAAACGTCGACTGAAGACTTTAGGGGACGTCGATTGTAGACGAGACTCAGATAGACTAAACGTCGACTGAAGACGTTAGGGGACGTCGATTGTAGACGAGACTCAGATAGACTAAACGTCGACTGAAGACTTTGGGGGACGTCGATTGTAGACGAGACTCAGATAGACTAAACGTCGACTGAAGACTTTGGGGGACGTCGATTGTAGACGAGACTCAGATAGACTAAACGTCGACTGAAGACTTTGGGGGACGTCGATTGTAGACTAGACTCAGATAGACTAAACGTCGACTGAAGACTTTGGGGGACGTCGATTGTAGACGAGACTCAGATAGACTAAACGTCGACTGAAGACTTTAGGGGACATCGATTGTAGACGAGACTCAGATAGATTAAACGTCGACTGAACACTTTAGGGGACGTCGATTAAAGACGAGACTCAGATAGACTAAACATCGACTGAAGACTTTAGGGGACGTCGATTGTAGACGAGACTCAGATAGACTAAACGTCGACTGAAGACTTTAGGGGACATCGATTGTAGACGAGACTCAGATAGATTAAACGTCGACTGAACACTTTAGGGGACGTCGATTAAAGACGAGACTCAGATAGACTAAACGTCGACTGAAGACTTTAGGGGACGTCGATTGTAGACGAGACTCAGATAGAGTAAACGTCGACTGAAGACTTTAGGGGACGTCGATTGTAGACGAGACTCAGATAGACTAAACGTCGACTGAACACTTTAGGGGACGTCGATTAAAGACGAGACTCAGATAGACTAAACGTCGACTGAAGACTTTAGGGGACGTCGATTGTAGACGAGACTCAGATAGACTAAACGTCGACTGAAGACTTTAGGGGACGTCGATTGTAGACGAGACTCAGATAGACTAAACGTCGACTGAACACTTTAGGGGACGTCGATTGTAGACGAGACTCAGATAGACTAAACGTCGACTGAAGACTTTAGGGGACGTCGATTGTAGACGAGACTCAGATAGATTAAACGTCGACTGAAGACTTTAGGGGACGTCGATTGTAGACGAGACTCAGATAGACTAAACGTCGACTGAAGACTTTAGGGGCTGTCGATTGTAGACGAGACTCAGATAGACTAAACGTCGACTGAAGACGTTAGGGGCTGTCGATTGTAGACGAGACTCAGATAGACTAAACGTCGACTTAAGACTTTAGGGGACGTCGATTGTAGACGAGACTCAGATAGACTAAACGTCGACTGAAGACTTTAGGGGACGTCGATTGTAGACTAGACTCAGTTAGACTAAATGTCGACTGAAGACTTTAGGGGACGTCGATTGTAGACGAGACTCAGATAGACTAAACATCGACTGAAGACTTTAGGGGACGTCGATTGTAGACGAGACTCAGATAGACTAAACGTCGACTGAAGACTTTAGAGGACGTCGATTGTAGACGAGACTCAGATAGATTAAACGTCGACTGAACACTTTAGGGGACGTCGATTGTAGACGAGACTCAGATAGACTAAACGTCGACTGAAGACTTTAGGGGACGTCGATTGTAGACTAGACTCAGTTAGACTAAATGTCGACTGAAGACTTTAGGGGACGTCGATTGTAGACGAGACTCAGATAGATTAAACGTCGCCTGAAGACTTTAGGGGACGTCGATTGTAGACGAGACTCAGATAGATTAAACGTCGACTGAACACTTTAGGGGACGTCGATTGTAGACGAGACTCAGATAGACTAAACGTCGACTGAAGACTTTAGGGGACGTCGATTGTAGACTAGACTCAGATAGACTAAACGTCGACTGAAGACTTTAGGGGACGTCGATTGTAGACGAGACTCAGATAGATTAAACGTCGACTGAAGACTTTAGGGGACGTCGATTGTAGACGAGACTCAGATAGACTAAACGTCGACTGAAGACTTTAGGGGCTGTCGATTGTAGACGAGACTCAGATAGACTAAACGTCGACTGAAGACGTTAGGGGCTGTCGATTGTAGACGAGACTCAGATAGACTAAACGTCAACTGAAGACTTTAGGGGACGTCGATTGTAGACGAGACTCAGATAGACTAAACGTCGACTGAAGACTTTAGGGGACGTCGATTGTAGACTAGACTCAGTTAGACTAAATGTCGACTGAAGACTTTAGGGGACGTCGATTGTAGACGAGACTCAGATAGACTAAACGTCGACTGAAGACTTTAGGGGACGTCGATTGTAGACGAGACTCAGATAGACTAAACGTCGACTGAAGACTTTAGAGGACGTCGATTGTAGACGAGACTCAGATAGACTAAACGTCGACTGAAGACTTTAGGGGACGTCGATTGTAGACGAGACCCAGGTACTTAGGTTTAGAGAAAAATCTACCAGTCTACTCTGCTCTGATTGGTCAGATTGCTCAGTCTGTTGTGATTGGTCTACTCTGCTCTTATTGGTCAGATTGCTCAGTCTGTTGTGACTGGTCTACTCTGCTCTGATTGGTCAGATGATAGATCGATGGATGGATGGATAGACAGACAGACAACATTTAGATTTATACAACACAAACATCATGATCTAACACAATGAAATATTGTTCTTTCTCAGCAAATCCACTACCTGCAGGGATCATAACAGCTGATGGACAGCAACAAAATGTGATGGTGTACACCACCTCCTATCAGCAGGTGAGAATGCTAGCAAAAACATCAGTCGTGATCGTTCATCTATTGCCTCCATCAAACCAAGTGTCAATCATTTTAAATGAAGATAGCACACTTTTCAAGCATTTTGAGTGATGCTTTAATTTGTGTTGCAGATCCCGGGTGTGCAACAGCTCCAGTTCTCCTGAAGATGTGCTGCACTGTCACATGCAGAAATCCACACCTAATCTTCACAAATCAAGCCTCTACACTTCCACATACAAGTGAAGGTCCTGAACGGTGGGCTCTGTGTGGTTGGTCTTCAGCGGACCCTCTTCTTCTGCTCTCACAGGTCACAGAGCTGGACTTCTATGTTTAGCTTGTTTTCAGGTGTGCTCCGTGTGTTTCTGTGCACACACATTATGATTTTAAGTGACTAGTCTGTTGGGTGTTTCTTTTGTTTGTTTTACATCACACATTGGGAGTTTTAAAGGGTCCTGAGGGGTTTAAAAAATAACTTGACCTTCAATTAAAGCAATAAAATAGAACAAATGTAAATCTTTCTGCAATTACTGGAATGAGTGCTTTGCTCCTTTATATATAGATGAAAACCATGTTGCATGTATAATTTCAGTTTGATAAGATGTTAACACAAAACAAAATGGGTATTTTTTTGTAAATTATTTTTTGTTTTTCTCAATGTTTTCATGAATTTGTATTGATGCAGTTCGCTTAACATGAAGAACGCATTTTAAAGCAATCTGCATTTATCAATCAAAGTCCAAAAAACCCCCCTAAATTCTAGTCTAAGTTCTTCAATGTGGCCCATTTTATATCAGTGACTTTCTTTGGATGAATTTACATTAAATTCTTGCTGGCCACAAATCATTTTGTTTTTATGTGTTTATTAAATTTTATTTACACCTTAAATATGAATTTTGAAACAGTTGTGTGCTTTAAATCCACAAACTGTGAGTCCGTGACATAAGGACAACAACAATTTTAGAACATTTACATTTTTTAATTTATAAAAAATATTTCTTTGTCCCACAGTCGTAATTTCTCCAATAATCTTATTTTTATGTTTCTCCCACAGCATAAATGCGTTTATGGCCAGTGGTATAATGCATATCTAAATGATGAAAGAAAATATCGGATTTAACTGTTAATATTTTGGCGGTAACACCTGGGAATATTATCAAACTTATGTTTTTGTTTTGGATTTCTTGTGTATTTGAAATCTGTTTCATGACAACAACAAAAATAAAGGACAAATTTGTCACCCTATTTTGAGAATGATCCCAACCAAAATAGAAGAAAGTGTTAAATAAATACAGCCTGACTCTCCCCTCTGGTAAAGTAATCGCTCCTCTGCTGCCCTACGGTGTCCTAAAGGGACAAGACCGCGATGGATTAACTGTCGGCACAATACACCTAAACCAACCCAGCTGAATGAGAAATTGGAACGCTCTGTCTTAGATGGTAATGGAAAAAATATATGTAGCAAAGTTCAAGTTTCAGGGAAGGAAGTGGACAGGGTCGGCTTGTGGAGACTGGGTTTTTATTTGAACCAAAAATAAACTGAACAAACTCAAAGTTGTGCACACTGCGCAATGTAAACGAACTCAATTGACCGTTCGCAAGCCCCTCCCCAAAAACGGCCATTGTCCAATCACACATCATAGCAACCGTTACTATGTGAGCAGGTCCGTCAAACATTGAATCCAAGCAAGATGGTGAAGCGGTGCGCCCACGGCGTTTGTAAATCGGACACTAGATACCCCGAGCGATTGTCTGGAGGAGTTCTGTTCTTTCTGTTTCCAAAGCCGAAAACACATCGTGAGCGGTGCCTACAATGGATAAAACAGTGAGGACGGCCCCACTCCCAGTTAAATGTGTCGAACATGGTTAACTCGCGTCCAGCACTTAGATTAGTCAAAGAAACATGGAGAAAGCAGATCAAGAGGATCCACAAAGGAATTACGTTTTCTAAAGGGTTGTTGTTAACATGATATTTTCGGGGGGAAATGAGCAGCAGTCAACTAGTTAGCAGTGCAGCACCTGTATACTAACAGTTTAGACTAGAGGAGTGCACGTTCGCAACGGGGAACGCATGAAGCTTATGCCGCGTTCCAGGCAACCTGTAACCCGTGTTTTTCCAACTCGTAACTGGGAGTACATCGATCTAGTACGAGTTCACGGATGGGAAGTCACGGGTTTGACTGCCGTTCCAGTGCACTTTCACGGGTATAAGGTTGGAAAAACACGGGTTACAGGTTGCCTGGAACGATGTACTCCCAGTTACGAGTTGGAAAAACACAGGTTACAGGTTGCCTGGAACGCGGCATTACTTGACAACATCAGTTCATATAACGTTATCAATATCGTAATGGATAGAAATAACCTTAAATAATGTATGGTTATCTGCATCTTTCCGTCTCTTATGTATAGTTACTTTTTAAACACGAAAATCGCATTCAGCATGACACGCAAGCGGTTGTTAAAGCGAATGTATAATCCTGTATCTGAGGCAAAATTACTAAATATGCAGCGCGAGTTATATATTTCTAACTCCAAACAATTAGCAACTGAACCAGCTTATAAAATCTTCTTCCAGGCTGTGCTGGTTGTATTTGAGGTAACGTTACAGGTCATGGGGTTTCTCAGATTTCGCTTGAGACCGGTATAAGCATTCGCCTCGATAGTAACGTTAGTCGTGTCTCAATCCTTGCGTATTTTTATGTTTTGAATATATCCCTCCACTGCATACTGTAACCCCTTGTGCCTCGATCTGGAGGATATCGCAGAGGTATTGCTCCAAAAAAGGTCACTGACACGCACGGGTATACCTCTATATCTGTGGCGCTGGTCGTGTTTGACCATTTGTTTGACGGGCGTAGTAACAATAACTAGGGGGCGTGGCTTTTACGAACGGTCAATTCACTAGTATCAGCTGTCTCTCAAATTGCTCGCCCTCTCTGCTCTCGGTGTTCTCTCCGCACTCTTTCCGCTGCTCTCAGCTGTTCGTCCGATCACCCACAGATCTCCACTGGTCTCTCTCTCCAGGCATCTCATTTCCTCGTGGCTTTTATCGGTCTCCCCACGCCAATTACTGAAACAAGACACAGGTGTTTGTCATTCACATTTAACCCACTCACGCCGCACCTGTCTTCCGATCCTCTCCTGTCACAGACCTCGCTGAACCACGCCCCCCTTGCCACATACCCCCACCGCCCGACTCTTGGGGTGCTTCTCAATTCTTATTTGTGCATCCTCGTTTCCTTTCCTCGCTTCCTTTCCTCGCGTCTCAGCTCCACCCCCTGTAGGACGCGAGGGAAGGCTGCAAGGAAAGAAAATGAGGACAGAGGAATCGAATGAAAGTTTTTTTTATACTGTGGAATACTTGATCACTCGACTCGAGCGTCACTTCACTACGTCATCAGCAGCGCTCAAAGGATCTGCCCTTATGTTGTTGAAGTTTGGTTATTTAAGAAATTAGTAATAAATAATAATAAAGCAAGATACCCTGTTGAAATATGTGAGATGTGTGGTTTATTTAAACTGCAATGGTAAAGTATAAATTAAAATGATTGTGACCGACATGAAGGGGGAGGAGAATTTATACGTGCATCACGTTTAGTCGGTAAAACACTTCCGCAAAGCATGCAACTGTGCATCCTCGCTTATAGCTCCTCTGGAAGCCTCCTCACTCCTCGATCCTCGCCTCCTCGCGGTGCAATTAGAGAATTGAGATGTCCTTCAAGATGGCTGAGCTCGATCGGTTTCCGGGTCATAGGATGGAGGACGGAGGATCGAGGAGACGAGGAGGGATATTGAGAAGCACCCACGAACTACGAACCACCTCGAACCACCTGGAACTTAAAGGGCTGTAAAGCCAGATACCAACGGGTGATCCACGCATTGGTATCCTTCATGCGGTGGAGCCATTGGAGAGGCGCGTGTCTCCGAAAAGAGGGTGAATTCCCGCCCCAGGAGATAATACCGGAGAGTGAGGACGGCCCATCTGATGGCTAAACATTCCTTCTCAATGGTGCTGTACTTAGTCTCTCTCTTAGAGAGCTTACGACTAATGTACAGCACTGGCCGCTCCTCTCCCTCCATCTCCTGGGACAGGACTGCTCCCAGCCCCCTGTCCGACGCGTCAGTCTGCAACAAGAAAGGGAGAGAAAAATCAGGACACTTCTTTGGGTTGGCCGTCAGCCCAGCCAGTCTCAGTGCTCTCAGCACAGCGCGCACATGCCCCATATGGCGCAGCCAGTCATTACTATAAATGACTATGTCATCCAGATAGGCAGCGGTATATGCAGCATGTGGCCGTAGAATCCTGTCCATGAGACGCTGGAACGTGGCTGGAGCCCCGAACAACCCAAATGGAAGTGTAACGAATTGGTGTAATCCGAACGGCGTGGTAAAGGCTGTCTTTTCTTTAGATAGAGGCGATAAGGGGATCTGCCAGTACCCTTTAGTTAAGTCCAGTGTCGAATAAAAGCGAGCAGTGCCAAGCTGTTCAAGCAGTTCATCAATCCGCGGCATTAACCTTGCGGTAATCCACACAGAAACTTACCGAGCCGTCCGTTTTAGGTACTAAGACTATCGGGCTCGCCCAATTACTGTGGGATTCTTGTATTACCCCCATCTTAAGCATCGCCTCTAATTCAGACTGAACCAATTTTTTTTGTGTTCAGGTAATCTATGGCCGGCTGCGCACCACCACACCCGGCACAGTCTCAATATGGTGCTGAATGAGATTTGTTCGACCGGGTAGGGGCGAGAACACGTCTGCAAATTCTGCCTGCAACCTGGCTACGTCAGTAATTTGGGACGGCGAAAGACGACCTCCTCCCGGAGCCAGCACCAGAGATGGAATTTTAATATTCGCCTCGGGCCCGAGATCCACTTCTGCACTAATCACCGTCGCCAACATTACCGACTCCGCCTCACTCCACTTTTTGAGGAGGTTGAGGTGGTAAATTTGACGTGCCCTGTTCCTATCCGTTCGAAGCACCTCATAATTGAGATCCCCGACTCGCTGTGTGACCTCAAAGGGCCCTTGCCACTTCGCGAGTAATTTGGAACTCAAAGTAGGAAGCAATACAAGGACTTTATCTCCCGGTGAAAATTCTCTTAGTTTTGTTCCCCTATTGTATAACTGGGTCTGTCTGTCCTGAGCCTGTAACAAATTCTCCATTGAGAGCCGCCCCATTGTGTGGAGTTTTGTTCTCAGGTCCAGGACATACTGAATTTTGTTACGACTCTCCGAAGGTCCTTCCTCCCAAGTTTCCTTTAGAACGACTAACACCCCGCGGGGTTGACGTCCATAAAGGAGCTCGAAGGGGGAACACCCTGTGGAGGTTTGCGGGACCTTGCGCACAGCAAACAACAGGGGTTCCAACCACTTATCCCAATTTTTGGCGTCTTCCTTGGCAGACGGGCGATGAACTGCTCCAGTACCACACGGTCGATGATCTCCCCGACGTCGGTTCCCTCAGCCAGCAGCCATTTGCGGCAGGAGTCCCGGAGCTGTTGAGCCATCACGAAGGGAATGGACCCATATCCAGGGAATGGAACCGCTGGCGGTGTTGCTCTGGGCTCCGGCCGACCCGCTGTAGAATGGCTCTTTTTAGGTCGTCGAAGACCAGGAGGTTCTGGACTGGCAGTTGTTGGGCCGCTGCTTGCGCCTCCCCAAACAGCAGTGGGATAAGGCGCACCGGCCATTGCTCTCTTGGCCACCCACCTGCCTCTGCTGACTTTTCAAAAAGGTCCAGGAACACCTCCGGATCATCCTGGGAACCCAAAATTTTTATTCAGCGGCAGGTGGGGAAGCTCGACCGGTGGCGGCGTCGTTTCTGTCCGAACCTCCTGGT